AGCAGCATTCCAAGGAAGAACAGAAGCCATAGGATATGAGGCCTGGTCTTGGAAGTTACACAATTCTCTTGGCCACATTCTGTTGGTTAAGCAAGCCATGGGCCACCCCAGACTCAAGGAATGGGGAAGTCTTCACCTCTTGATAGAGGATTGTGTTTTCACTGGGACTGTAACTGGCATCACCAGATGAAGTAAACTCCATTATCCAGAAAGAACGGGGAAGCTTGTTAATATCCACTAATAATACTTATGAAAAAAACAAAACCCACTTACTATGTAATGGATACTCTGCTAAGTACTTCACAAAAACCCAACAAGGTAGGTGCTAGGCATGAACATTCATTTCCCATGTTCCTGCTTTCAGGGGAAGAAGCAGAATTCCCTATAGAACTTCCTGCATTTCGCCCTCACACACATCTATTTTCTCCTCTCTGTGGGAGAAGAGACTCCTCTGCTGGTGAGTCCATCAGAAGTGTGCTTCTTCCTCCTTGAGATCTCAGAGCCACAAGTAGAGTGCATTCTATCTGCTCTGGGGGAGGTGCGTCCTGTGGAGGAGACCTGCCAGGGCTAATTCATTCAGGAGGAGGGGTATTTCACAAAGCCATTTGGTCCAACAAAATCACATTCTCCAAACAGCTTCATCTGTTGTAAATGAGTTATTTTGAACTCCACCTGCCTGGATTTCTCAGTTGTTTCTGAACACAGGCAGAGAAAGGAGAGGTGTAATTTGTTGGAAACTTTCATATTGCACTAGTAAACACTACTAGCCCCTTTTTCTTGAAAAGGTGTAATTTGTACAAGGTTGCATAGCTAATACTCAGCGAAGCCTCATTCCAGAACCAGCTTTCTGGATTAGAAGCAGGACTGCCTTCACCACACTCTCTCCCTGACTGCAGGAAGTCATTTAACATTTACGTCACCATTATCCTTCCTTGACCAAATCCAGGTTAACAAAGGAATCTCTAACACTTTCTCTGTTCCCCCATATTCTTCACATCTTGTGTGTCAAGCACCTGCAACCCAGCAGTCAACAGAGGTACCCTGATCTTTGAAAATTCATATAACATTGACTTGAATTTAAGTCATAAGTGTGGTCAAAGTGCTTAGCCCCTCTCATTCCCCTGGATTTGGGGTGGTAGCACCAGTTTATCTTATTTTACCTTATTCCTAGTGGATTGTTAATTCCACAGTTCTACATCCATCAGAGTATAAATTATCTCACCATCTTGTATACACATCTCCTCTACACCATCCCCAGATGTGAGACACAGACACGTTGCCTTGATTTTCCCCCTTAAACAACCATTAAAACAAACATTTGGGAGTACAGCAGACCTCACTCAAGGTTCAATGTGTTGAGAGAGCTCTGCATATTGTTCAGGCTCCTCAAGCCTCTGTTGAGACCTGTAACTGCCCATCCTTGCTTGCTGCCCTTCCCCTTTGTACTCTATTATGTAAAACTTAAAACACATCTAATAGAAGCAAGATTATTATAATGAACTCTATGTTCCCATCTCTTAGTTTCAACAATCACCAACTCACAAGTCATTTTACTTTATCCTTGCCCACTGCGCCATTGGGGTCACTGTGAAGCCAACCCCAAATGTCACTCCACCCACAAATGTCTCAGCACGCATCTCCAAAAGACCTGCTTTTGAGAGCACAGCTGCCATACCAACCCTCCTAAACACAACTAGCAGCAGTTCTTCCATATCAGGAATTGTCAAGCTGGCCTTCACTCACCTGGGCTTTCCTCCCTCAAGCTTCCACCACACCTGAGATGACCTGCACACGTTTATCTCTGACAGGTCTCAGCTCCCCTTGCTGAACACAGATCTACAGGAGGACTGCCTATCTGAACAGGGCTGACTGTCCCACTGGGCAAAGTAGGTCCAGTGCCTACAGCCCACAATATTTCCAGGAACTCACAAAAATGTTTTAGTCCTTTTTAAATAAGAAGGAAAAATAAACTTTCAGTAAAAGTATGTTTGACCGTGTCCATCTTTATACCACTGCAGTCATAAAATATAATTTGAATATTATTTTAAGAAAGAAACTACTCACAATGGTTGACATGTTTAGGGCCCATGAAAGTCATAAGGCAGCCGTGCACCTGACATCTCATTTTAGATGTCTCAAAGGCATCATCTGATCTAAATGTCCCGAACTGAACACATGTTTTTTCACTCTCTCTGGTCCTTCCCCCAATGTTCCCTACGTCAGTGAAGGGCTGTTGTGGAATTCAAGGAAGATTACCCAAAATGAGAACAGACCTAGGCTGTTTATTCAGAGTTGCAAAGCAAGGGAGTCAGACACCATCACTTGAATTTGTCAGAGACTTGAAGGCAGAGGACTGGGAAGGCTTTATAGTGGGTGGTTGGGGGGATGGAGGAGGCTGTGGTTATGCTCTGATTAGATGCTGTTGGCATGGGGAAACTGGAGACAGACCAACTAGAAACAAGGCATCTTATGTGATTGGCTTAGGGAGTATATTTAGCTTTCTCTGGTTGGTCCTGAGTTGAAAGTGGTGGCCAAAATAGGCGATAGGACCACTAACCAGATCCTTACCATTCTGGGTTGACAGCTGCAGAGGTTGTAGCCTGGATTCCTGACCTGCTTGCTGCACAGGCTGAGTCAGAGTTCTATTGTCATATATGGCCTGGACATTGTCCACTGGTATATGTAGACTCTATCTTGTCTCATAAGCTAGGAATCCAGGAATTATCTTGAATGCTTTCCTCTTCCCTTCCCCATATCCAACCCATCACTAAATCCTGTAAACACTCACCTCCCCAAATATCTCTCAAGTCCATCACTTCTTTCCTTCTCCACCATGGCATCACCAAACTGTTTTCATATTTCATCTAATTAAACAGCCTCCTAACTTGGTCTACTTACCTCCACTGCCCACTCTCCAATTTACTTGTCAAATAACTTTTTTCTGATTATATAATTCCTATGTTTAAATTACCTCAATAGCTTGCATTGTTTTCAAGATTAAGACTACAGTCTTCATCACAGCTTCCAGGGTCCTGCATGGTCTGGCTCCCTTCCTTCTGCCTTCTTATGCATCATATAACCCATTTTCTTTCTGTTTGAGCCATACTGGCCTATTTCACTCCCCCATGCATCCACTTACCTGCCACAGGGCATTTACTGGAAGGCTATGGGCAGCTCCTGAGTCAAAATAGTAGGTGAAGGGCCAGGCAGCTCTGACACACATAGTAGGAGCAAAATGAAATCTCATGAGGGCATTGCTATTGGGAAATATCCGCTCCCGTTATGTCCTGCCCCTTGCACCACTGTTTAAGATCCAAAGTGCCAAAAGACAGTTCAAAGGGTCTGGATGGCTTGGGTCACATGCCCATCTCTTGGCCAGGACACCTTGAATAAAAAGTCCCAATAAAGCTGTAAACAATGAAGAGAAAGAAATCCCTCCCTTCCCCCCAACAAAAATTGGGAGTTCTTACCAGAAGGAGGATGAATTAATGCTGGGTGACCCCAAAATCAACAAACATCCAATAAATACAGGTTCCCACTTCCTGGACTGCCTGTCCCCTCTTTGGCTAGTTAACCCTACTCATTTTTAGATTCCAGTCCAACTATCCCTTCATTATAGAAGCCTTCCCTCACCTTCACAAGGAAGTTTAAAGTTTTTTCTATTATTTCTTGGCACTATAATCTCCCCTTCACAGCACTTGCCACTGTTGTAATTTTACTTTCTTTTGTGAATCTCTAAATTACAACCTTCCTTCCCAGTTGGCCAAACAATCCATGGAAACAGAGCCCATATCTGTATGGCTTACTATGAAAACTCCAGGGCCTAGCACAGTACCTGGCAAAGCAAAGACACTCAACAAACATTCATCTAAAGATGTTTATTTTTCCAGTGATGAATTATGCCACTCCCTCCTTGAAAGCAAAAGTTGGATTTTAAACAAATTTTTTCCAATTCATACATAATTTTCTTAATATTAACAATAATGCAGCAAATAGGAGCCCATTTACACATAAAGAAACTGAAGCACAGGGAATTAGGGAATTTGTTCGAAAATCACATACCTGGTAAATGATCATGGGGGATACAAACCTGGGTCTGTCTTCCAAATGCAGTTCAAAATTACTATACGGTATTGCCTCTCACCTCTACTAGTTATCTCCACTAGTTATCTTCTAGTTACCTCCTTTCAAAGCAGCTAGCTTGATTTTAAAGTCACAGCGGTCTTAGAGGTAAAACTTATTCATCTGTAAAACTGGTTTTCAAATACAGTTATTTACATGACCGTAAATTTAGACATGCCATAAAAGTTAGTTTGGTTTGTAAAATACTGGTCCATGGAGAAAATAAAACACTCTGGGCAGGTACAATCTGACAGAGCATTATAAGGCTTACCAACCACTTTGCTTTTCTGTCATTCATGATCAATGATACTGAACATTAGCGAAGGAACAGAGATTAGTGGAGATGTAATCATAAGATAACCTCCCTAAATATCATCTACAGATTATAAAAAGCATTTTGACTTATCTAAAAAGGCTTCACCATTTCAGCGTGATTTCTCAGTAATGATGAGAGGTTGAAAAAAAACTCAAAGAATGATTTCAATACCCAGAACTTATTAGAGAAGGGACAGAGAAGAGATCAGCCACTGGGGAACACAGATCTCGACCAGAGAAGGAAAGCAAAACATGCAAATAATAATAAGAATGCTTCTTCAGGTCAGCCACAACAATGAGATAGCCAAGATGCCTGTGAGGAGATAGTAAAGAGATAGTAAGGCTATCATTTTCTCTTTTATTATATGCAGGAGTTGCCAAACCTGTTTAACACATGATTATATATAACAGCAGCAATTGCTATTTGATGGTCACAGTGGAGCACTCTGAAGGTCTCATATTTTGTGAGAGGGAGAGAGAAAACAAACTAACCAGATTAGGGAACTAAGTCATCTAATATGTCTTCTAGATAGAGAGAACTTGACTGACGTGGCTTTATGTATTTAATGAATGAGAGGTTCTGCCAACTCCTGGATCCTCTGAGAACATTGTGTTTTCAAAGCAGCTTGCTTGACTTTAAAGACATCCAGATCATAATATACAATATGCACAGGAGTCCTGAAATGGGCAAAAAAATAATAATTCAAACTGAAATAAGATGAACAGAAAATGGAACTAACATTTCTCAAGCATCTACTATGAGTTAGGTGCTGTGATTTTATCCCATTTTATTTTCATAAGCATGAAACAGGTTTCATGACCTCTCCTATATAAAGAAATGAAAAGTTCATGGAGATTATAAGAATGATCCATGGTCCAATCCAGATTCAGGTATCTGTCAGATTCCAAAGCCTTTGCTATTTCCACAGAAAGTAAATTCTGGAAATTTCTCAATAACTTGGCAATGTTAAAACAAGCCAGAAAGCACCCTGATGAGCTTAAAGAAATCAAATATTTAAGTTTCTACCTTTAGCACCTTAAGACCAAATAATAACTTTGTTACTAGGATAGAACCTTGAGCACTTGATCTTACTCTTCCCTTTCCTTTGTCAATGAACAAAGAATGAGAGTCATTTCATTTGATATTGAAACTTTGTAAAGGAAAAATACATTACAAAGACTTAAAAATATTTTTTTCTGTAAGAACTAACATATTTTCTGTTCCCTGAACTGAAAATTCTACAACTTTTTCAGTGTCTCCTAGGTTTTCCTAATGATGATTAAAAAGAGTGATCAGGTATTATCCCCTGAAGGAACAAAATAAACTGAAGTTCAGGCAAGGTAAGAGGTCTTCTGGGTATTAAAATGGCTGAATAGGAAGGCAAGCTGGAAACCTCCTCCCAAAAGCACATAAAAGAGGAAAACAGAGCAAATTCACTTAAACCTGAAAATGACCTGAAGACTGCAGAACAGACCCCCTACACCTGAGGAAGAAGAGAGGACCACATAGAAAAGAGCCAGAAAGCAAAACAGAGACATTTAATACAAAGGAAGAAACATAGAATCCCTGACAAAATAAGCAGGCAAAGGAATTTGATCCAGTAAGAACTATAAGACAGAACCCCAGAAAGAGGGTTAAATGAAACAGAGAGCACCAATCCTTTTGATAAAGATTTCAAAATAAAAGTCATAAACATGCTCATGGATTTACAGAAAAGTATGCAAGATCTCAGGGAGGAAGGACTTCAACAAAGAGATAGAAAACCTGAAAAATATCCACTCAGAGCTGAAGAGCACAGAATTTGAAATGAAATATACAATGGAAGGATGTAATAGTAGGTTAAATCATGTAGAGGTGATGGTAAGTGAAAGAGAATTTAGAAAATGAGAAAACAAAAAAGCTGAGGAACAGAGAGAAAAAAGGAGCCCTAGGAATGAAAGAATAAGACAGCTATGTGACCAATCCAAATGAAACAATATTCACATAATAGGGGTACTAGAAAGAGAGGAGAAAGACAAAGGGATAGGAAGTCTCTTTAAGGAAACAATTTTTGAAAACTTCCCTAATCTGGAGAAGAAAATAGACACTAAGGTTATGGAAGTGCAGAGATCCCCTAACAAAAAGAACCCTAGCAAGACAACATCAAGACATATAGTTAAAATGGTAAAGATCAAGAATATGGAGAGAGTGTTGAAAACAACCAAAGAGAGAAAAAAGATTACTTATAAAGGAAATCCATCAGGCTATAAGCAGACTTCTTAACAGAAGCTTTTCAGGCAACTCTCTTCAGAAGAGAGTAGCATGATGTATTTAATATCATGATGAAACATGATGAAACAGAAGGTTCTCCAATCAAGAATCCACCAACAGGCAAGATTATCATTTAAATTTGAAGCAGAGATTAAACAATTTTCATATAAACAAAAGTGGAAGGAATTCGCCACTACTGAGCCAGTCTTACACATATGTTAAAGGGATTGCTGTAGATGGAAATGACCCTAAGGTTAAATAGCTTTCACCAGTGAAAATAAATCTATAGTAAAGGTAGTTGATGAACTAAATACCAAGCAAGTATGAAATTAAAACCAAAGAAAAAATCAACTATACACAAAATCAGTCAAGGATACACAAGAGTACAGATTATGACATCTAATACAAAAAATGTGGAGGAGGAAAAGGAAGAAAGAAAAAAAGTACCCTTATATTGTGTTTGAAATAGAGTAATCAGTAATTTAATACAGACTACTATATAGTAAATAAGCTATTGTTGAACCTTTGGTAACCACAAAACTAAAGCCTACAATAAATACACACACAGAAAAATAATAAATAAAATTAAAAGAGAGAAATCCAATCACAACACTAAAGAAAACCATCAAATGACAAGAGTATAAGAGAGGAAGAATCAGACAGGAACTACAAAAACAACCAGAGAATAATAATGTATTATTCCTACCTACCAATAACTATCTTAAATGTAAATGGAATGAATGCACTAATCAGAAGACACAGAGTGGCAGAATGGACAAATAAACAAGACCCATCTATATGCTGCCTGCAGAGACTCATTCCAGATGCAAAGACATATACACACTAAAAGTGAAAGAATGGAAAAAAATATTCCATGCAAATAATAGGGAGAAAAAAGCAGAAATAGCAGTACTTATATCAGACAAAATTGATTTCAAAACAAAGAAAGTAACAAGAGATAAAAAAGGACATTACATAATGATAAAGGGGTTAGTCCACACAAGAGGATATAACCATTATAAATATTTATTCACCTAACATAGGAGCACCTAAGTATGTAAAACAAATACTAACAGAATTAAAGGAGAAAACAGATTGGAACACCTTCGTTTTAGGAGATTTTAAAACACCATTCACATCAATAGATCAGTCAGGCAGAAAATAAATAAGGAAACAGAGGCACTGAACAATACATAATATTAAATGGACTTAACAGACAGCTACAGAACATCCCATCCAAAAGCAGCAGGATACACATTTTTCTCAAGTGTACATGGAACGTTCTCCAGAATAGATTACATATTAGGCCACAAGAAGAGCCTCAGTGAATTAAAAGAGATTGAAATTGTATCAAGCAGCTCTCAGACCACAGTGGTAAAAAACTAGAAATAAATTACATAAGAAACAAAAAGATCTATAAACGCATGGAGGCTAAACAGCATACTTTTAAATAATCAATAGATCAAATGAACAAATTGAAAGAGAAATCAAGCAATACATGGAAAAACAATGAAAACAAAAACAAAACAGCCCCAAATCTGTGAGACGTGGCAAAGGAAGATCTAAGAGGAAAGTACATAGCAATACACACTTACCTCAAGAAACAAGAACAATCCCAAATAAGTAGTCTAAAATCACAACTAAAGAAACTAGAAAAAGAACAAATGAAACCCAAAGTCAGTAGAATGATGGACATAATAAAGATCAAAGCAGAAATACATAAAATTGAGAAGAATGAAACAAAAAAAATCAATCAAAACAGAAGCTGGTTCTTTGAGGAAATAAAAAATAGATAAAGCCCGTCCTGGAAGCCAAGATGGCGGCATGAGTAGACCAGCAGAAATCTCCTCCCAAAACCACATATATTTTTAAAAATACAACAAAGAAAACTCTTCCTAAAAGAGAGACCAGAAGACACAGGACAACAGCCAGACCACATCCACACCTGTGAGAACCCAGCGCCTCACGAAGAAGGTAAGATACAAGCCCCGGCCCAGCGGGACCTGAGCGCCCCACACCCCAGCTCCCGGCGGGAGGAGAGGAGTCAGAGCAGGGAGGGAGAGGGAGCCCAGGACTGCTAAATACCCAGCTGCAGACATCTGCACCAGAGTGCAGACACAGTGCATGTGTGAGGTGCTGGAAACTAGGGAAACAGGACAGAAAGACCTGTGAGTGGGTCCCTGCAGATGTTGCACTCGGGACATAGAAGAGCGAGTGCTTTTTGGAAGTCTTAAAGGGACAGGGACCACTCAGCCAGAAGGACACATCCTGGGACACAGTCCAGCAACAGGGAATCTGGGGATTTCTGGGCACTCTAAACCCCTGGGCAGCAGGGAGCATGGAGGCCCCTCATGGAGATAAATAGCATCCCGGCCATTCACCCTCCAATGCGGCTCCACCTTATTGGAGCAGCAGCCCGAGGCAGGCCACACCCACAGCAACAGCAGAGATAAACTCCATAGCAGCCACTCAAGAATCAGCAGACCTTTCTGCGTGCAGCTGCCCAACACAAGCCACTAGAGGTTGCTGTTCTCCCAGGAGAGGAAGGCCACAAACCAACAAGAAGGAAGTTCTTCCAGCCGTCACTCGTCCCAGCTCTGCAAACTATCTCTATCACCATGAAAAGGCAAAATTACAGGCAGACCAAGATCACAGAGACAACACCAGAGAAGGAGACACACCTAACCAGTCTTCCTGAAAAAGAATTCAAAATTAAAATCATAAAAATGCTGACGGAGATGCAGAGAAATATACAAGAGCTAAGGGATGAAGTCCGGAGGGAGATTACAGATGCCAGGAAGGAGATATCAGAAATGAAACAAACTCTGGAAGGATTTATAAGCAGAATGGATAACATGCAAGAGTCCATTGATAGAATAGAAACCAGAGAACAGGAATGCATAGAAGCTGACATAGAGAGACATAAAAGGATCTCCAGGAATGAAACAATATTAAGAGAACTGTGTGACCAATCCAAAAGGAACAATATCCGTATTATAGGGGCACCAGAAGAAGAAGAGAGAGAAAAAGGGATAGAAAGTGTCTTTGAAGAAATAATTGCT